GACAGCAGTGTGCTGCTGACAGGCATCCTCTCCACTGATCTGTATCTTCCCACACTTCCTCCACACCCTGAGTCACCCAATGGACCCTGGAAAGCAGGGGCTGGCAGGTCCTGCTGGCCTGGGCTTTCCTTCCCACTCCCTGGTTCCCTCAGGCTACTCACGTTTGGCTCAGCTCACCCCGACTGCACAGAGAGGTGCTGGGTCTGGCTGCTGCTCAGGTGGTGGGGTGGGAACCATAAGCATAGATGGTGCAGTGGGGTGGGTGGTGTGCAGGAGAGCCCAGCCTATGACACAGAAACATCTGTGCCAGCCTGGAGGCTCTAAGACAGCTTCTAGGATGGAATTGCACTGCAGCAGACAGATGTGAGGGATGGGTAGTGTCAGGTGAAGAAGTGGGGGAAAGTGTTCCTGGCAAGGGAACAGCATGAGCAAAGACCCAGCAGCCAGAAAAGCCCAGTGCACTTGCATGAGCAGACCAGTGACACCAGGGCAGCAGGGAGGGTGCACGGGGATGTGAGGCCACAGAGATTGACGCAGCCACGAGGGCTCAGACTTCATCCTGAGAGCAGCAGGGAGCAGGGAAGGGCTGAAAGCAGGGTGGCGGTGTGACCAGAGCTGCCCTTCTGCCTACCGGATGAAGGACAAATTGGCAAGGGGTGGCTGGACCAGAGAGACCCTGGAGGATGCTGTCACTGCAGCCAGGCAGGAGAGGGAACATCCTGAGGCAAGGGAGCATGGCTGGCCAGGAGGCACCTCCCACTCCATTGCCGCTTATCTGCCCCTGCCAGTGATGGCCAGTCCACTTACCTGCTAGACCCCAGTTCACTGACATCATCAAGCCCTGGCCCAGGGCTGAAGGTACTTTATTGCTGATGAAATTTAACTCTACCTCAACTCCAGGCTCAAATGCCATCTCCCCCATGAAGCCCTCCCTGCTTGCTGCATGAATACCTTCCACAGCACCTATCCCTGTGCTGTCTCACAATTTGCTCTTTGAGGCACTTTTAGAGTGTCCCTAAAGACTTATGTGAACTTTGACATTGTAGCTGCAGAGCATGGCCTCTGCAGCAGAACCACCCAGGGTCACACCTAGGTCTCCACCAAGATTGCAGTGGGATTGAAAGACAACACACATAAAGTGATCAGAACAGCGCCAGGCACAGAGGAGTGTTCCATGAAAGGGAGCCGCTGTCTGCCATCCTGTGGCTGGCTGTCTCCCCATATACAGGTGAGTACCTGGAGGGCACAGAACAGGCCATCTTCATTTTTGTATCCCTGGCACCTGGTATGTAATCAGGGAACAGGAATGCAGGCCGAGGTGACTCAGCCAGGTACCTGCCTTCCGGCTACTCCTCCCACCTTCCCTGTCCTGGCACTCAGGCAGGGCCAGCTAGTGCCACAGTCGTCTCTTCATTCCTCTGCCTTGGGCACCTCATGCTGCTACTAATGCTCACTAAGCACGATCCTTCTGATGCTCATGTACTGAGCGTTCTGCCCCATGGACAGGCCCCCAGCCCCTGGCCCCTGGGGATCTCAGGCCCTTTGGTACTGGGAGGGGAAACCCAGTTTCCTGATACCCCACACCCAGCTACAATGTCAAAGTTCACATAAGTCTTTAGGGACACTCTAAAGCTGCCTCAAAGAGCAAATTGATGAGAAGGGTGCTCCACAGTAGAGGGCCATGCAGAGGACCCTGAGCAACAAAGAATGGAGTGGAGGCCCTAATAGGGGATCCAAACCCAGGGGTTACAGTAAAGAAATAAAACTAAGACCAGGGGAAGGCAGGTGAAAAAAGACAGCCAGGGGCCTGGCCTGAGATGAGGGGGAGACACCCCACCTGTGCTGCGGACCCGGGTGCGGGGTGCTGGGAAGGGTGGCCTGAGTGAATGGAGGGGATGCCGAATCAGAGAGAGGCTTCCAGGTAACGTGTCTGCAGCGCGGAGAGTTTGAAAGCAGCTTTCCTCCCATATAGTCAGGTAGGGACCCTAATAAATGTAGTACCCTCAGATCCTGTTCCTGCCATCCATCGTTGACATAGTACATGCCTTCTCTGTGACTGGCACTGTGCTAAGCGCTGAGGAGAGGGTGGTGATCCAGACATGTCCCTGTTTCAAGAAGCTTATCACAGCCTTGAGGATGTCTGCGGCCTGGCCCACAGACTTCACAAACAGGCCCTCAGCAAAAGATGATGCCAGAGGGCAGACAGGCAGCAGGCATCATGGGTGAGAGCTGGAGCTCTGGAATCAGACAACGCCAGGCTCAAACCTTGGCTTCACCCCTTCGGCCAGCAGGACGTGGGCTGGCACCTTCAGCTCTCTGAGCCTCGGTTTCCTCATCTGCATAATGAACATGACAGTACCTGCCTTCCTTGCCAGGCACATGGTAGGGGTTCCACCAGTGGCAGGGATTATTATTATGGCATGGAGCAGGGAGGCCACAGCAGGTCGTCAGAACAGCTGAAGGGGACATGACTCTCAGTCAAGGAAGGAAGTCACCACCTTGGGCTCACCTGGCTGAGGACAAAGAAGGTACGGATGTTCCAGAAAAGGGCCTGCTCCTGGAGGAAGGTTTTCAGGTAGATGTCCTCAAAGGTCTTGAAGCAGCCAACCAGGGTGACAAAGGTCTCATCGTCTGCGTTGTCTGTGATGCTCTGGAGGATGGGCACCATGGGGGCCAGGCCAGTGCCTGCAGCCAACATGAGGAGCTCACCGTGCTGGGGAGGAGTAGCGGCTACATATGACAGGGTGCGTTGGGAGGGTCTCACCCACCCACCCACCACAAGGCCTTCTCTTGGGCTTGCTTCAACTGCATGGCATGCTCTTCCTGGGTGTCCCGCCTGACTGAGCTTCCCCCTCTACCTCCACCAGGAAGCCACCCTTGCTTGTGAAAGTCTGTAGTTTGTGAGGTGTGTGTCACAGAAATGGAATCTGGGTACTGAAAGAAAATGTTAAACAGTGAAGCCCACCCTGCAAGTGGTTTGGGTACTTTCCTAAGCATCGCACGGACTGATTACACACTTCAACTGACAGGTAGCCCTCTACCTCCCAAGGCGATTTGCTCTATTACAGGCTGAGTCCCCTTGCCAGGGAGGACTTCCAAGCCCCTGGGCTGCTTCCTCTGCTTCTGGGAAGCCCTGCACAGATCTGAGGGCCCCATCTTGAACCCCTGAGTCTGCTCTGCTTTAGACTAAATGAGATACTCATACCTAAGTGCCTAGCACAGGGCTGGTATGAAAGAGCTATACAATGAAAGTGCATTTCCACCCCGAGAAGTTGCTGTTCCATCATCCCCTCCTCATAAAACCCCTTTTCTGGCTATGGGTCTCTTACAGAGAGGCAATGCTCTTCATGGTCAGAAATTTAAAGGTTAGTGCCTAACCTATGCAGTGAGGTATTCACCTTCCTCATTCTAGAGGTTAGGCCTCTGCTTGCTGCATGAATACCTTCCACAGCACCTATCCCTGTGCTGTCTCACAATTTGCTCTTTGAGGCACTTTTAGAGTGTCCCTAAAGACTTATGTGAACTTTGACATTGTAGCTGCAGAGCATGGCCTCTGCAGCAGGACCACCCAGGGTCACACCTAGGTCTCCACCAAGATTGCAGTGGGATTGAAAGACAACACACATAAAGTGATCAGAACAGCGCCAGGCACAGAGGAGTGTTCCATGAAAGGGAGCCGCTGTCTGCCATCCTGTGGCTGGCTGTCTCCCCATATACAGGTGAGTACCTGGAGGGCACAGAACAGGCCATCTTCATTTTTGTATCCCTGGCACCTGGTATGTAATCAGGGAACAGGAATGCAGGCTGAGGTGACTCGGCCAGGTACCTGCCTTCCGGCTACTCCTCCCACCTTCCCTGTCCTGGCACTCAGGCAGGGCCAGCTAGTGCCACAGTCTTCTCTTCATTCCTCTGCCTTGGGCACCTCATGCTGCTACTAATGCTCACTAAGCACGATCCTTCTGATGCTCATGTACTGAGCGTTCTGCCCCATGGACAGGCCCCCAGCCCCTGGCCCCTGGGGATCTCAGGCCCTTTGGTACTGGGAGGGGAAACCCAGTTTCCTGATACCCCACACCCAGCTACAATGTCAAAGTTCACATAAGTCTTTAGGGACACTCTAAAGCTGCCTCAAAGAGCAAATTGATGAGAAGGGTGCTCCACAGTAGAGGGCCATGCAGAGGACCCTGAGCAACATAGAATGGAGTGGAGGCCCTATTAGGGGATCCAAACCCAGGGGTTACAGTAAAGAAATAAAACTAAGACCAGGGGAAGGCAGGTGAAAAAAGACAGCCAGGGGCCTGGCCTGAGATGAGGGGGAGACACCCCACCTGTGCTGCGGACCCGGGTGCGGGGTGCTGGGAAGGGTGGCCTGAGTGAATGGAGGGGATGCCGAATCAGAGAGAGGCTTCCAGGTAACGTGTCTGCAGCGCGGAGAGTTTGAAAGCAGCTTTCCTCCCATATAGTCAGGTAGGGACCCTAATAAATGTAGTACCCTCAGATCCTGTTCCTGCCATCCATCGTTGACATAGTACATGCCTTCTCTGTGACTGGCACTGTGCTAAGCGCTGAGGAGAGGGTGGTGATCCAGACATGTTCCTGTTTCAAGAAGCTTATCACAGCCTTGAGGATGTCTGCGGCCTGGCCCACAGACTTCACAAACAGGCCCTCAGCAAAAGATGATGCCAGAGGGCAGACAGGCAGCAGGCATCATGGGTGAGAGCTGGAGCTCTGGAATCAGACAACGCCAGGCTCAAACCCTGGCTTCACCCCTTCGGCCAGCAGGACATGGGCTGGCACCTTCAGCTCTCTGAGCCTCGGTTTCCTCATCTGCATAATGAACATGACAGTACCTGCCTTCCTTGCCAGGCACATGGTAGGGGTTCCACCAGTGGCAGGGATTATTATTATGGCATGGAGCAGGGAGGCCACAGCAGGTCGTCAGAACAGCTGAAGGGGACATGACTCTCAGTCAAGGAAGGAAGTCACCACCTTGGGCTCACCTGGCTGAGGACAAAGAAGGTACGGATGTTCCAGAAAAGGGCCTGCTCCTGGAGGAAGGTTTTCAGGTAGATGTCCTCAAAGGTCTTGAAGCAGCCAACCAGGGTGACAAAGGTCTCATCGTCTGCGTTGTCTGTGATGCTCTGGAGGATGGGCACCATGGGGGCCAGGCCAGTGCCTGCAGCCAACATGAGGAGCTCACCGTGCTGGGGAGGAGTAGCGGCTACATATGACAGGGTGCGTTGGGAGGGTCTCACCCACCCACCCACCACAAGGCCTTCTCTTGGGCTTGCTTCAACTGCATGGCATGCTCTTCCTGGGTGTCCCGCCTGACTGAGCTTCCCCCTCTACCTCCACCAGGAAGCCACCCTTGCTTGTGAAAGTCTGTAGTTTGTGAGGTGTGTGTCACAGAAATGGAATCTGGGTACTGAAAGAAAATGTTAAACAGTGAAGCCCACCCTGCAAGTGGTTTGGGTACTTTCCTAAGCATCGCACGGACTGATTACACACTTCAACTGACAGGTAGCCCTCTACCTCCCAAGGCGATTTGCTCTATTACAGGCTGAGTCCCCTTGCCAGGGAGGACTTCCAAGCCCCTGGGCTGCTTCCTCTGCTTCTGGGAAGCCCTGCACAGATCTGAGGGCCCCATCTTGAACCCCTGAGTCTGCTCTGCTTTAGACTAAATGAGATACTCATACCTAAGTGCCTAGCACAGGGCTGGTATGAAAGAGCTATACAATGAAAGTGCATTTCCACCCCGAGAAGTTGCTGTTCCATCATCCCCTCCTCATAAAACCCCTTTTCTGGCTATGGGTCTCTTACAGAGAGGCAATGCTCTTCATGGTCAGAAATTTAAAGGTTAGTGCCTAACCTATGCAGTGAGGTATTCACCTTCCTCATTCTAGAGGTTAGGCCTCTGTGAATGCAGTCTGAGTTTTCACTCGCTGTATTGACCACCACTGCACATCACACTGCTGCATGAAACACTTCCTTGAGGTCAGGAGTCACAGACCTGGGTATAAATCCCAAGCCATATGGTCTGGGAAAGTTCGTTCACTTCTCTGAACTTTGGTTTCTTAACTAGTAAAAACATAAGAGAACCTGCCCATTGCAGCTCCTCTCAGAACTGTTGTGAGGATTAAATGAGATACCATAAAGTGCCTGGTGTGGATCAATGCAGCTGCAGTTCCTCCCCTCTCCGAGCCCTGAGTGCAGGTAGGTCACGCATCCTGCCCTGTGCTGGGGCTCCCCTGGCCTGCCGCTCTTCAGCCCGCCAGGCTCCTTTCTCCCCCAGCACCACTCCAGCTCTCCTCTGGGAAGCCTTCCCCGAGCCAGGGGCAGGCAAGCATCCTTTGCATTCCCAAAGCCCTCTATGCACCTCCTCACAACACTGGGCATGCTGTACTGTCGCCTCCCCATCAGACTGAGCTTCTGGAGGACAGAGGCCATCTGTGGCTCTGGGTGGATGCTTGTGAATGTCTGTGGAATAAACGCACAGGTGCTGATATGCCTGTCTCAGAGCTGACGTGAGAGCCCCCTGCAAGAGGACTACAGAGCAGTGAGACGGCTGGGAAGAGGGCCAGAGCACCCCAGCGTCCTCACGGAAGCACAGCCGAGCTTGGCCGCAGTGTCAGCAGCCAAATGCTTATGTGTGAGATGCCATCTCTTCTTCCTCACTGCTGGGCCCTACAACCCCCCTAGGAAGGAAGTACAGGGGCTTTCTAGTGGTGGCCTATGGATGCAGAAAAGGCTCCACCCAGGAAAGGTGGTCAATACAACATTCATCAGGTGCCCTCTCTAAGCTGGGAGGAAACAGGGACCATTCCTAATCCATGCTCTCAAGAGCGTGGGGGACATAAGGACACCATCAGCTAAAATGCAGGCTGAACATGGCTGCACCAGCAGTACACTGTAGAAGAGCATTAATATATGCATACCACATATCTGTAAAACGGGGGTAGCAGCTCATAGGAGCTGTTGTGAGAACTGAATGAGTTACTACATGGCAAGTGCTAATAATCAGGTGCCATGTATGTATTTGATATTATTATTATACACACATATGTGTGTGTGCATGTGCCTGTATGCATTTCCAAGTGTGGAAGAGGATTTGAAAGATAGACACCAAGGCAGTAAAGCTGGTTTATTTGGATAGATGGGCTGCAGTGTTACTTTCTTCTTTTTGCCTCTATATCTGCTGATTTTTTTTGGTAATGAACATGTACTGTATTTTTAATAAGGGAAAAAAACTTAAAAGCTGTTTTTAAATTAAACAAAAAAATGGAGAGGAAGGAATGATTCATTCTTTTCCATTTGTTTTTGTTTTGCTTTGTTCCCTAATTATAAAGGTAATAGGTGTTCATTGTGGATAATCTGGAACATATAATGAAGAAAATAAAAATAATCCATAATTCTACCACCCAGAGCTGTTAACATTTCATTGTATTTTTTTTTCGTATTTTTTTCTGTGCATTTTAACTTTTCCCCACCTGTTGTATATTCAGCTTTGTACCTAGTGTTTGTCACTTGATCTTACAGCCTAAGGATATAATATCATTTATAAACAATTTTAAAATCCAGGGTAATATTCTATCAAGTATCTGTACTTAAGTGTTCCCCTGTTACTGGATATTCAGTTGTCTCCAATTTCTTGCTCTTATAAATAAAGCAGCAGTGAACACGTGCCCAGGAGTCAACATTTGGATTCTTTCCATAGGACAGACTTCTAAAAGTAGAGTTACTGGGTTAAAGGATTTGAAGATTCTTAAGACTCTTGGAACGTACTGCCAAACTGCTTTCCAGATACACACCAACTGATGGTAAATCACTAAGTCTTCCTGGGAATGTCTGGGCAGGATATGCTGGAAAGATGAGGGGAAGAGCCTTTGGGCTGGGGACAGGCTCCCAAGCAGCAGGCCATTGCACATGTCCAGGGAGTGGTCTCCTTGTCCTGTACCTGGAATATGAAACTGGAAAGCTATCTGAGGGCCAGTAGGGACCCCCAAAACCACGTACACGAGTCTGGATTTTCTAAGCAATGGGAAGCCATGGACAGTTCTAGAACATAGGCATGCAGTTTTGTTTATTAGTGCCTATTCCATCTTCTCCCTTGGGGTTGGGGTTGGGTTCAGAAAGAATGGCACAGTAAGATTTTATGGCCTAAAACATGAAAACCGTAGACCTCAAGGCCAACCTGGGAGGGATCTACTGATGAGTTAGTGTGCCCATACTGACCTGGTTTGGCTTATAAATGAAGCCTCCGAAAGGTCCTCGCCAGAAAGCTGTGTCTCCTGCTCTCCAGGACTTGACATACCGGGCCATCAGCCCAGTCGGGTAGCACTGGGGGCAAACACAGGGGACCTCGATGGGACAGGCACATACTGCCAGGCAGACCACAGCGGTCGTTGACACGGAGTCCTTCCTGCATGCTAAGTGCTTTTCCTATGTTATCTTGTTTAATCCACATTGTCCCACAAAGTTGGTGCTATCATTCCCGATTTTCAGATGAGGCCCAGAAGCTTGCACAGAAGGGAAATGGCGAGGCTGGGATGAGAATTCACAGGACCTACTGCCTTAACTACAGAGATCTCAAACCCAAATAACTACAGGGATCATGCAGGTAATATAACTTTAGAAGATTAATGGCAATTAACACCCAGTCTCAGTGTCAGGGAGATAAGAAAGAGTGGGGGGGGACGGGGGACTGTGGTGAGTGAATGCTCCTTCTAAAGGAGGAAGTCCCTTTGCAGACTCCAGTATGGAGTTTATGAGGTTGATGATGCCAGATCTGATTTTCCAAGAGGGGAAGGAAATCCATATTTTTATGTAAAATCTCCCATCTTTAAATGGCAGCAATTAATCGTATATTTTAAAACACTGTGCAGGCCAAAACCAAATATACTTAAGGGCTAGAGTCAGTTTGTAGGCCACTCATTTTCAATGTCTCCATTACTCATCACTGTCTTCTGGCTGGGTGATAAAAATGGAACTTGTAGAGAGGATTCTTCCACTGGGGGCCTGCCAATTCTGTGCCAGGCACCACATTGGGGCTGCAGGGGAGACCACTGGATCTTAAGCTCCAGGAAGGCAGCCAGTGCCTAAACACCATGGAAAAGACTTAATAATTATCTGAATGAATGAATCAATTAATCCAGAATCAAGCCTTAAGGAAGTCACGATATAGAAGTGACTTAAGTCTCAGATACACAGGGTAGAAACTACCTAATAGCCCATGAGAATAGAGTGCTAAGAGAGCCCTGAGGAAGTGCAATTACTTCCAATGGAGTAGGATCAAGGATGGCTTCCTGGAGGAGGAAGCACTTGAGCTGGATCTTTAGAGCTGGCCAAGACTGCATTCATCGCTGGGGGTGGGAGTAGAAGGGCAGAGAGGATTCTGAGCATCAGGTGTGGTGTGGTCAGGGGTAGGAGAGCCTAGGTCATGTTCTGGGAATAGCAAGTGACACAGGAGGGGAAGGGGAAGGGGAAAGCACTGGCAGACAGGACTGGAACAGTGTTTGGAAGGAGATTTTAACCAGGCTTGAAGGAGACACTGGGCTTTGATTAGCAGACATGCTTCTAATTACCCACAGCCACCTCTGGTACCACCCTGACTCAGTTGAGCACCATATGCATAAAGCAAGGGAAGTCCTTGTCTCACCTAGAAGGGGTCTGGGAAGGAGGCTACAGTTTTCCTCCTAACTTGCTGGAGGCTGTCTCAGAGCACACCTTGTTTTCTGGCCCCAGTCTCAGGGGAGGCACAGCCTCAGCTGTGGCCTTCGACGCCTTATGGCGCAGACAGACAGCACTTCCGTGTCTCCAGCACCCACAGACAGACTGGCTCAATACACATTGTTAAACAGAACTTACACTGAAGTGTTCTTTGACTTGGATCATATTACCCAAGAGGCCTTGGCACAATGACATCATCTCTCTGAGCTTCAGTTTCTTTATCTGTAAAGTGGGGATAATATGATCTACTCTGCAGGGTTGTTATAAGGTTAAAAGGAGACAATGGAAAAAAAAAAGAGCTAGAAGCAGTGCCTGATGGCCAGAAGGTACCTGAGAATGGGGAGCTCCTCCTTCCCACTTGCGAAGGTAAACCTAAAAAACCTGCCTGCCTTCCAATTGCAACGACATCTTCCCAGCTAGCAGCTTAGGGATAATTAAGCATCTCTCTAAAGAGAGGCTTTCCCGTAAACGAAGGAGAAAATCAGTCTTGCAGCTGGGAGAGATCCAGCTGCCCTGAAGAACTGTCTCCAGGCTTATCCTTTCAACAGAAACACACCCAGACGAGCAGCTTGGGGATGCAGGCCATTTGGAGAGGATTTGTGGAATCTCCCAGACAAACAGTTGTGGGAGAAGGGATCCCATCCAAGCTTATGTGTGAGGGAATAAACACTCTGGCGCCCAGGCCAGGCGGGGCGGGCAAGAGCCGGAGGCAGTGCTGAGGTCTTGGAGTCAGAGGCCAGGGCTCACTCACAGCCAAACATCTCACTAGCTGCAAAGCCTTGGGTCTTCCTTTGGCCTCAGTTTGAAAAGGGGAAAATAATTCCTGTCCTACAAGTGAGATAAAGGATGACAAAGCTGTTCTTAAATACTGATGTCCTAGGATTCCATTTGGGAAATGATGCGGTAGAGATATACATTAGGCTGACCCATATGAAACTGCTGTTAATCTTTAAGGCAAAGGTTAGAGTATCAGCAATATCATGTAGTTCAATGTAATTTTTTTTCCCACACAGAATTGGACCTTCATGACTTCTTATACATTTTGGTGCCAATTCCTTGGGTCTCTTGTGGGTTTTGTACCCAGCCCTCTTTGTTTATCTCATCTCTGCCAACTTCCCCACTCACCTGGGCTGCCCCCACAAGCACCTCTCCTTCCACCACTCAGAATGGTTACAGTTTCTACAAGATGCTGTTCTGTTTCACTGCCCCCTGCCTTTGGTTATCTGTCCCCTGGGCCTGGAATGCCACTTCCTGCCACTGGCAGTTTGTACTCCTTCAAGGCCCAACTCAATGCCTCAGATCCTGCCCACCTCCCAGAGAGATGACCTCAGGTTAGTTTGGTCCACAAGGCCCTCTGTGTCCCACCTTTTGCCTGCATACTGCCTCTATGCCAGGGCACAGGACTAACAGTCCCCAAATCATGTGGGACACAAATCATGTGGCCTCCTTTGCCACTGTACAAGCTGCTCCCAGCACTCAGAGATCCCTTCCACATTTCTCCCCTAGGTCCCCACTCCTCAACTCAAACATACAGCTCAACTCACAGCTTCCACTGGGAAGCGCAGCCTACCTTCCCTGCCCCCCCACCCCCCGCTGCCCTGAGCTGGGTTGGGGTCTGCTGTTACAGTGTCCATCATGCTGTACTGTCTCAGTCTAGCTCATCTCTGGATCCCAGTGCCCAGCACACAGTAGGTGCCAGGTGACTGGGATCCCCATTCCTTTGCGGTTAATGCTCACTCTGCATTGATAGGGAAGAAGGTGAGGAGGAGCAGCTTTCTCAGTCTGAGCCTCCTTTTCACAAAATCTGTCAGGAATATGCCCTCTGTTGGTGCCCAGTGGCTTCCTTCCCCAGGGAAGAAGGAGATGGGAGAAGTCCTCCTTCGCTGTCCCCAGTCTTCCCTCAAGCCAACCTCCCTCAATGTGATCACTGGCTTTTCCCACATGGGTAGAACTTCCCCATCACATCCCAACCAAGCTGGTAAATGTCCAGTTCACAGCATCTTAGCACATCCACGTGGGCCAGCTTACCTTGATTAAAACTTCAAAGTAACCTTCTGCGTTGGCAGGGCTGATGGGAGTATAGGCTCTCTGAATTTCTAAGTCATCTACTTTCCCCCTAGGAAAGAGAAGTAGTCAGTCAAGCAGTCAGCCAGTCATTCAACAAACCCTTACAGGTATCTACTCTGTGCCATGCTGGTGAAAGTAAAGGTGGGGCCCAGACATCCAGGTGGTCCTCACTGAGGGACAAAATAAGGACAGTAATTCCAGGCAGAGGGAATAGCCTGGGGGAAAGCTTAGAGGTAGGATAATGTGGGACAAGTCAGGGACTGATGAGTAGATCATGAGGCTGGAATAAGGGGCAAGTATTGGGGAGGGGAGGGAGAGATAAACTTGTTGAGAAAGGAATCTGGGGCCTTGGGTTATGATGCCACTGGAGAGGCATTGTGCAGCACCAGAAGTTTGGGGAGTGGCATGGTCAGCCACGTGGGTTAGGACATAGCTTAGGACTGGAGTGACAGAGAGGGCAGAGGAGAGGGGCCAGCCTAGGGGCAGGGAGTTCTGAGCCTCCCTGGTTTACAGATGGAGGGCTGCATGGGTCTGTGACCCGCCCTGTGGCCCCTCCCACCTACTGGAATAGTGGGCTTCAAGGACTGCCAGCCAGGCCACAGGCCCGAACAAGATGGGCACAAACACCAGGGGTCAGTGCAAGGCAAGTGGCCAGAGTGTGACCAGTAATGTGCTCTCTCTCCTGGTTTTCCTCCTTTGCTGGCTCCTCCTCTTGCTAATACCATAAATGCTGGCATTGCCAGGGCTCGGTCCTCTGCCCTTCCCTCTTTCCACTGTCCCAAATATATGCCAATGATTCCCATATCTACATCTACAGTTCGAATCTCTCTGCTGAGACTCAGACCCACAGTGTAAATAGTCTAGCAGACAATTCCACCTGGAGGTCCCAAGGAGCCTTCTCCCTGGGCAGGTGGGGTGGGGATCTAGGCGGGAGGGGAGTGCAAAATTAGGCTGGGAAGAAGAAGGAACTTGAGAGGAGTGGTGAAGAGTGTAACGCAGGAGGCAGACTGTTTGGGCTTGAGTCCTGGCCCCACACTTCATTAGCTGTGCGATACTGGACAACTCACTTATCCTAATAACAATGTCTTTTCTCTCAGATGGTGTTAACCACATTAGGTTAATACCACAGGCTCTAAAGCCAGACTGCTTGCCTTCAAATCCCGGCTCCAACACTTTGTGAATGTGAGACCTTGGGCGAGTCACTGAACCTCCCTGATTTCCGTTCCCTCTCAGGAATGATTATGGTACCTACCACAAAGGACTGTATGAGAATTAAATGAGTTCAGATGTATAAGCACAAGAACTGTGCCTTGGATAGTTAGGTGCTATAAAACTGTAGGTTACTGTTATTAGTAGTACTTATGAAAATGCATTATCTAGTTCAACCCCAAGAACCCTCTAAATCAGATATTGCTAGGTTTATTTTGAGGTGACAAATGGAGGCTTAAGAGAGATGAAGCAAGTTTCCCCTAGTCCACACGGCGAGCAAACAGAGCAGGGCCGCAGAGGTCTGGCCCTCCCGCTACCTGAGTGTACCGTAGGATGAGGTGTTGGCCAGGCCGCAGGCCAAGTGGGCTGTTCCCAGGCAGTGCGAAGCGCACGTGGTAAGTATCCTTAGTGAGTTTGTCTATAGCACTGACGCGGAAGGCTAGGAAGGTCTCAGGGCTCAGCTTCGTGGGGCGGCTCTGCAACAGGAAAAAGCTGGGCTCAAGCATCCAGAAGCAGCCTTCCCACTCTGCCAAGGGGAAGCTATCTTGTCCACTAAGTTTTCTGTGAAATATAGTAGCTCCACCTTACTTCCCTTTCATGCCCTAAGAGTGCCAGTGCACTCAACCTGGGGCTCACTCTGCTATGAAAACTTCCATGGCCCCCTCAGCCCCAGGATAAAGTGCAGGCTCCTTAGCTAGACACTCAAGGGCCCCATGGACAACCCTCAAGCCTCATTTTATCTCCTACACATCAGATGCCAGGCATTTCTCTGTCCTCCCAGGACACCCTGCTGCCTCCTGGGAGCATCACCCTGGGAGTCCTGTATTTGTTCAAGTTATGCCCCCTTGTACAGAACACTCACCTAAAATGTATGAATGGATTTTTCATACCTTCAAGCCTACTAAAATCCAGATTTGCAGAATTTAGAAATGGATGGGGCTTTAATGATGATCTAATATTCTTATTTACACGTGGGGAAACTGAGACCTATGTGGTAGTGGATTTCTTGTCCAAGGTCACACCATGAGCAGGGACTTGAATTCATGTCTTTGAAGTTTCAACCCACTGTCTTTAACATTCCACCACACCTCCACCAGGAAGCCTTCTCTGCATGCCATGACTCCAGATCTCTCTCCTATAAAATGCCCATATCCAGTTCACTCCTGGAACCACCCCATGCCTAGCTCAGGCTCAGACTTTGAACCCAGATCTGTCTGCTTCCATTAAGCACACTTTCTCTGTGCTGTGCAGGTCAGGGAAAGCTTCCCTGAGCATCAGGTACACTTTGCAAGGCCAGGTAGACCGCCATCCTGGCCCACTCGCCTGAGGAGCAGCCCTTCCTCACCCGTGACTGCTCCCCACTCAGCAGGCTCCTGTTCTTGCTGGCTTGGGCTGCCTCCCACCTTGCCAGGTCTCGGTGATAGAGGTCGAACACACAGGGTGAGCAGCCACTGCCACAGCACTGGGAGGGCAAGGGCTCCACCGGCCGGAGCTGCAGCCAGGCCTCCTCACTGTCATCCTCCTCCCTCTTGTCCATTGTCAGTGGGTCTTCGGCAGCCTGGGAGGGACAACTGGGTGCTCTTCCCAGAGTGGGTCTGGCTTGGTGAGGCCATGGGCCCAGGCCGTGCTCCCCTGCCGGCTTAGGAGAGGGAAAACATGGGTTACACTCTGGTGATCTCTCTCCTCCCCATTCTCCCTGAGACCTGCGGGTGCCATGCCCTGTGTGAGCACGGGGACGAGGACGGATCAGCCCTGGGATCTGCTGCCCGGCGGGGAGGCAGGGTGACAGGACACAGCAATCTGAGCTGGCAACCAGGTCTTCCTGTACTCTGAGTACTTGGTTAGGTACTTTACATAGAAAATCTCTTTGATTTAAAAAACATTAAAAATAATAAAGTACAGCATGTACAGTATTAAAAATAAATTAAAATGTTGTAAAAGAACATCTTTGTAATTACCACTTAGTCAAGTAAAAAGAACCTTGCAAGCATCCCAGAAGCCACTCACACGTGCCCCTTCCTGATTATCACCCATACCCCAGCCTCCAGGTAACCACCATCCTGAATTTGGCATAATCATCCCCTTGCTTTTCCTTAGTTTTGCTGCTTTTGTTTGCATCCTTAACCACTATAGCTTTGCCCGGTTTTTATTTTTTTATAGATGGAATCCTATGAACATATTCCTATGTCTGGTTTCTCTCACTCAGTGTTATTGATGAGTCACCTGCCCAAGTGCTGCATTTCATATATTTTCACAATGAGGCTAGTACAGGTATCATTTCATAGATGGGAGGACTGGGGTCTGGGGGGCGTTAATCCAGTCACATAGCTCCTAAAGTGGTGGCACTGAGATTTTAACTTCAGGCTGCTTTCAGAATCTATTATTTCTCAACCACAGGGAAACAGGAAGAGGAGGTTGCGATGGTCCAGCTGAGAGGACCTGGACTAGGGCGGCTTTGAGGGGGATAATAAGACAGGGGTCAACTAGAGAAATAGCAAAGAGGGCATTAACAGGACACAGAGACAGACCAGTGTGAGGTGAGGGAGTGAGGCGGGCAGAGGGGCTAAAGGCACATCTATATGTCCTGGCTTCAGTCTGAGTGGACAACGGGCTCAAGAAAAGAAGTAAAGCTTTAGGGAAAGACGAAAGAGGGGAAAGATGGTAAGTTCAGTTTAATGTATGTTGAGTGCCCATCCAAATGTAAAATCTAGTTGTCAGCTGGGTTAAACAGGTATACGGATCTGGAAACAGAGATCTAGGTAATCTGACACCAAGGGAGGGACGAGTGGGTAGAGGAAGGTAACAGGCACGCTGGAGCCTTCTATGAGGGCCTGCTTGGCTCCATTCCCTCCTGCAAGTACTTACTGCACTTGGCCCAGCCCTGGTCATCGTAGCTGCCCAAGAAGTACTCTTAAGTGAGTGAATCAACCTCACAGTGTTACACGATGTTCAGAAATTACATGGTTATATGTCTTTCTCCTCTTTGGAATTATAAATTCCTTGAGGGCAGAGAATATTTTTTAATCGTTTTATGAAGCAGCGCACTAAATATTTAAAGATACGTTTGTGACATGAAAAGAAGGAAGAAAGGAAGAGAGTTTAGGTATTAGGTAAGAGGTATTAGGGGGCTATTAGGTAAGAATAGTCTGGAAGACAGATCAGGGAGGGAAAGTTAAATGGCAGTGATTTATTTTCAGATGATTCTGTCAGGGCAGTTTGGGGCTTACAAGGTTCTCCATATTTACATGTGGAACTCCACAGTTTATATAGAAATAGACCTGATCATTTCACCTAAAGATGAAATATTCATTTAAAATTCCACAGGTAACCGGAATATGTAAAACAAAGTCTATGTGATAACAGATAATGCTTACTGAATGCTCACTGCATGCTTAACATCACATCAAGCAATGTAATGAATTGTTTCATTAGTCTTTGCAACTACCCTTGAGGTAGTAGTAGCATACCTATTTTATGAGTGAGAAAACTGAATGTTAGAAAGACTAATTAATGTGTCCTGTGTTACACAGGAACATGTTAAGAGGGGGAAAAAATTCTCTAAAAAATTCCACAGGTAAGTCAAAGCAAAAGAGGGTGTTTCCTTCTTCTTACCTGAGAACAGAACTGAGGGGAATTCTGATGTCACAGAACATTATTTGATGTAAATATCACTCCTCTAAAATGCAACTGCTTTTGAGAGTTCTAGTCCCTGATTTCCTCCATTACTGCTGCCAGACACTCACTGGGCAGGAGCTGCTGCATGAGGTGCTGGGATGCAGAAGTGAGTGACATTTGTCCTTGCCTTGAAGAAGTTACTGGCCTAGTGGGACAGTCAGCCCTAAACAGATAGCAACCATTATAATGGATGTCACTCACTGGGCCAGAGTCTCTGCCAAGTGCTCTGGACTGTCTCACTCTGTCTTCCTGACAGCCACATGAAGGGAGGCCATGGCCTTCTTCATTTCACAGAGGGGAAAATGAGGCCTGAGTCAGGAGGCTAGAAGTGATAAGGTTAGTACTCAAACCTGGGTCTCTTCTGCCTCCAGGTTGGTAATCTTTCTCACTAGATTTCATGCTTCTGGAGAGCAAGGTGCAGGGGGGTCTTCAACTCCAATGCCCAGTGCCAGGCACTGGGCTGGCACACAGCAGGGGCCTAACTTGCCAAACTGTCACTTAATTTTGTGGGCACCATGGAGCCTCCCAATGGCACTAATTTCATTCATTCATAAAGTGCTAGGATCAAGATGTGAACCAAGTCTGTGGAGGGGCAGAGGGTTAACCACCAAGCCTGCCAGAGGACAGAGAAGCTCCACTTCTTGGTTACCAATCAGCTGCCAAGAGTCCTATCTTTAAGATATTTCTACTTTTCCTGCCTCCTCTGTCCATTTACACTGGAGCTTCTCATGCTCCCAAAGGCTGTGCTCCTAGTCTCTCCCTATACCATCCGTCATCACACCTGCCACCAGCTCTGATCACACCAGTCCCCTATACTTAGCAACTTTTAACAGCTCCCCATTGCCTAATAGACAAAATTCAATCTTCTTGCCTGATGCCCAAGGTTCTTTCTGATCAGAACTTGTCCAAATTTTCTTACCACTTACTATCATTGGTTTTAGAAGGGCAGTACTTCTGTGTGCAATAAATCTTTCTCTTACAGAAGAAAGGTTTTGGTTTCAGAAAATTTGTTTCTGCTGCTGACAAGCTTTATGATTTCAGGAAGGTTTAGCAGACTGCGACCCCCTCCAGGGCAAGGATGACATCTTATTCTTTCTGCAGTCTACCACCAGGCACAGGCACATAGAAGGCTCCAGTGATTGGTGACTGCTCATTCAGTTTACAAATAAGATCCGGAGCCAGGCACAGTGCTAGGTGCAGGCATTCAGCAGGGGTAAACAGGACATGGGCTCTCCCTTCAGAGAACATGCAGCCTAGCAGGGTGGTACATCAATTCAACCCTTTTTATTATGAGTGAAGTTTGTTTCCTTTTTCATGTTTTCTTAATCCCAAGTTTTTGGGAGGTCAAGTGAGATCAGTGAAAAAGCTCTGTTAACTCTAAGCTGATATTCAGTGTGCGGGTTATTCTTATCAGGCTTTGCCTTAAATGTATCTTCTCCATGTTTTCAAACCCACTTTCTCGGTATTTTGAAAGTTGATAGAGAAGTTGGCCTTGTTAGTCATATATTTTAAAGACCTGGTTCATGCATCCTCTTAGGCTCCACTTCTTCAGTCTAAGCACTACCTTTAAGCCAGGCCTTAACACTGGATGTTGCCTAAGCCTGGATGACTCTCTCCACTCTTCAAGTTTTGTTTATAGGTCATCTCTCCTCAGAGGCCCTCCCTGAACCTTTTGATTTTCATTCTCTATCATGTATCCGATTTGTTTCTATCATGTCTTCCTTCATTAAACGTATATTTACCATGTGCCAGGTACTGTTCTGGGTGCAGGAGATGCAGCAATGAAGAGAAACCCCTGCACTCATGGAACTTATAGTCTAGTGGGAGAGACAGTCATTAAACAAGACCAAAATGGCAAACAGGGCAGAGTGTTAAAGGCTGAAGAGAAAAATAACCAGGGCAAAGGTGTAGGCGGTATATGTGTGTGTTGCAATTGCTTATTAGTTTACTTGCTTTCCGAATCTCCAACCATAGTAAGGTAAGCTTTACAGCCCGTTTTAATCACCAGCACAAACCTGATGCTCACCACAGTGCCTGACTAACAGTAGGCATTTGAAAAAGTGGTGTTGCTCAAGAAGCAAAGGAACACCTTCATCGCCCTGGCCTTCCTTCTGGGAGGCGGAAGGGAAAATCCCGAGTTAAAGGGAGGAAAATAGGTCACTTTGGCCCTGGGGAAGAGGCACGCAATACGAGCTGGTGTGGTGGACAGGGCCACTCCCAGGCTCCGGAGAAGGGCAGTGATAAAAGTGCCCACAGCAAAGAGAAGTGCTTAGACAGGAAAACAAACGTCTGCGCATCCACTCCATGCTGAGCGCTGGCAGGTGCCCTAACACGTATTTCTAGCCCCACATTTATAGCGAGGGACATTGAGGCTCAAATGGAAGTGCTTTGTCCAAGCTCCACTAGCTCGTAAACAGCCAAAGTTGCCGTCAACTTAGGTTTGGAGTCCCGGTGCTCTTCTAGTCCCACCGCGGCCCGTTCCACGAGCACTCACCTACACTTCTGCGCCACTCGTCATAAGTTCCTCCAGGGTCAGCCCTCTCGCGGGAAGGCGGGAAGTACCGAGCTCGTCTCACCAATGAGAAAATGAAAACAAGCATGAGAGGCGGGGTAAAACAAGCGTGCCCTAACTGTGATTGGCTAGAGTGGCTGCCACTCATAAAGCGAGCCTCAGCGCCCAGCCCCTTTCGTTTCCAGCAGGCCTTGCGCGCGGGAAAATGGTGGCGTCCAAGTGCAGTTCCTGAGACTAAGTCGGTATGGCGTTGGTAACGGGGCCCGCTAGGCGGGCACTGGCTCGCCCAGGGCGGCTTATCCTTGGGGGCTGCGGGGCCCCGAAACGCAGGGCGTACGACTGGGGCGTGCGCTCCACGCGGAAGCCCGAGCCTCCTCCCCTGGACAGGGTCTACGAGATCCCTGGACTGGAGCCCATCACCTATGCGGGGAAGATGCACTTCATGCCTGGCTTGGCGCGGCCAGTCTTTCCTCCCTGGGACCCCGGCTGGACGCACCCAAAGTTCCGTCGCACGCCTCCGATTCACGAGCATCCGCTGTACAAGGACCAGGCCTGCTACGTCTTCCACCATCGTTGCCGCCTCCTCGAGGGTGAGGCCCCTGGACGGGCGGGAAGGGACGTTGTTTCTCTGCCTAGCACCGACACGAACCACTGTGGCTTTGAACAAGACATTGAAACTGTGGGTCTCCGTTTCTTCGTCTGTAAAATGGGACCGTTAGTGATTTTCATCTTCCGAGAGTTGTGAGGATTCAGTGGGATGTAAAGAGCTGTGCTTGCAAGAGGGGAATTAGATAGTTTGAGCGGCAAAGTGAAAGACCTAGTTCCTCGGCCTACCCCGTCTCTAATTCTGTGTGGGGTTTTGGGCAAGTGGCTGAACCTTCCTGAGCTTCCATTTTCTGTGAAATGAGTGGTTTTGACTAGGTGGTCCACACTGACCCTTTCAGCTCTGACGCTCAGGTGTAGTTGTACATTTACGAAATAGATGGAGAAAGATTAGAGTGGGAAGAGGCAGCAGAGTGCTTATCTCCTGGCCTATATCATCATTTTACAGGATTGGTAAATGTGACAGAGGGAAGTCATTTGCCCACAGGCGGACCGTGGGTTAATAGTGAATCTGGTTGTGGATCTGGTTTCTTGAGTCAATGACCTTTGTGAAAGGTCAGAGCTGAGCTGTTTTCAGAGAAAGGATCTGAACCTAAAAGCTGCTAGCCCGCTTCTGCTCCCCTTTCACTCTCACTGAGAACAGATTAGAGTGACTGAGCCAAAACCAGTCAATGTATCTAGAGCTGTGCCAGAAGTTATTTTCCAGAGTCCGTGGAAAGGCTTGTTTATAGAGAGTCCCTTCTCATTCTTCCTCCACGTTCTTCCTTAGTCCTCAAATCAGGATGGGGCTAGGGCTTGTTCTGAAAACAAAACAGTTGAGGTAAATGGGAGCAGTATTTTCCAAGGAAAGAGACCTGGCACGATTTGGGGACTAAGCCAGAGAATAAATCCTGGGTTTGAAAAAAACTTAAGTCAACTGGCTGGCATTTTGAGCTGCTCAAACCCATTCCTGAAAGCTGAGTTTCCAGCCTTTAAACACTTCCAGTGTCTGCACAGGGTGCTGGAAGCCCTCACAAGACTTGGTATCCTCTAGTGACTCTGCTAACATTACCATGTGGAGGAATGCATTAGTAATATTTTAGAAGTTAAGGTTACACTTGTTTGACTTACATTCACTTGACCAGACTGAAAACATACCCTGTGCTTTCACCATAAACAAAGACGTTTTGTGAAGTCTGTAAAAAGCTCTGCAAGATACAGGGCTAGTGAAGCAGACTGGGGTAATGGAGAGATCATGGGCTTTAGGTTTGACAGAATCAGGGTCTCCTCCCAGCCCCATCACTTAGAAGGTATGTGACTTGAAGCACATTCCGTAGTCTGAATTTCATCCTCCATTCCATGAAATCCCATCCATCTTGTAGATAAAGCCCCTGGCAGTGGGTAGATGGTGATGCTCAGTAAATGGCAGTAAGCATTATTACATTTATTCATATACTAGTGAACCATAAAAATCTTAATATTTATCCACTTACAAGTTTAGGGAACAATGGCCATGTCTGGACTAAAACCTGGGCTACCTGACTCCCAGGCCAGAGTTGTTTCTACTGCACGAGAAAATCCAGAAGTTACATTTCTAAATGTTTGTGTTTCTGATATCTTAATGAGCCTTCAAGTGAAAAGTCTATTGCCTTTTCCCAGAAGAAATTGCCCAAGGGTGTCTCTCCCCAAAGTGTTCTAGGCTCCCTTTAATCCCAGACATAGCTTTTCAGATGAGGATATGCCTGAATCAGAGTTGTGTTTTTCCAGCTGGGATGAGTAGCCTGCCAACCAAAGCAGTCACCAGTCCTCTGTCAGCTTGGGGCAACAAGCAATGAAAAGAATAGTGTTAACTGATCTGAAGGTAGAGGACTTGTAGGTGGACTTAGGCAGAACTTAGGTCCTGGGGCTGCATCTGTTTCTCCCTTAGGGAAGCCAGATCTGGGGAAAGTGAGGTGAGGGGATTTTGCCTGGTTACCACAGCAGAGCCCATCCTGCTTAGAGTAGTTGACATTCCTTAATGTTTAAAAACTAAGTGGTTTGAATCAAATCTGTTTTAGTTTATTTATACTATGTCTTTTCCTGAAAAGCATTTTGGGCATTTTACAACATATCCAGATTAAATAAAAAATAGGTAGGTTAGGGGATCATCACAAAGGAAAAATAAAACAATGAGGTGAATACAAAAAATCCATACAAAATCCAACTTGCTAACAGAGACCCCCAAATTTGGCTCTCAGCTTGCTAGCAATCAAAAAATGGTAAAGGGACAGTCACCTGACTGGGCCAATTGGCCTGTTTCTGTAGTTTTATTAGAATACGGCCGTGTCCACTTGTTTACATGTTGTGTGTGGCTGCTTTCATGCTACAGTTTCAGAGTTGAGTAGTTGTGACAGAGACTCTACGGCCTGGAAGCTGAAAATATTTACTGTGTGGTCCTTTATTGACCCCTGACACAGGGGAGAACTTCATTTAAGCAGTTCACTATGTCCATAAGACAAAACAGTTCTGAACCCAGGAAAAGTGCAACCTTCCTGGGTTTCTGAACCTGAGGCCAGAGAGGTTCAGAAGGTCCTCAGTATGATCCTTTTGACAAATAGAACAGTCTGTTTCATAGGGCATCTTCATAAGAAAATCTGCCTATAAAATAACTCATAGAATCTCAGAGATATAAAAAATTATCTGTTTAAGTGCTCCCAAATCCAGGGCTCCTCAAATTATTTCTAGAAATTATTTCTAATATTTCCAAAAGCTATTACCCCTGATAGAGCAGCATGGGCTTAATCCTGGGCCCACACCTGGTAAGTGAGGTGTATTTGCTAGACATGGACTTTTTCAGTAAGGGACTGGGGTGTGGGTTAATAGAAGGGATCTAGGTTTTGAAAGGTTGGCATCCATTGATTTAGTCCCATGGTTTAGGGTCTGTCTGAATCATGTGGGCAGCAGATAGACCCCTGCCTGCAAGATTCAGCCCTATGATCTCAGTCATCTTAGCCACTGTTTAAATTTTTCCCTATCAGGCACCCACCACCTCAATCAATTATTGACCATCCTTATGTAAACAGTCATTCCTGAAGTTGAGTTGACATCTGGCTCTCCTAACTCTTCATTATTAGTTCTGGCCCCTCAGGTATCACAGAACAAATCCTGTGTTTCCGTCTAGGCAGACTCTTCCCCATGATGTTACCTGGCTTAAGCATCTCTTCCTGAATCGTCTTCTTTTTTTGTTTTTTTGTGACTGACTACCATGAAGGTGTGAAGCAGGCCCTCTGGCTTACCAAGGCCAAGTTAATAGAAGGCCTTCCCAAGAAGGTACTTAGCCTTGATGATCCAGGGAACCACATAGAGAACCAAGATGAACGCGTTTTGAATGTGATCTCTCATGCTCGTCTCTGGCACTCCACTGAAGATGTCCCCAAGAGGGAGACCTACTGGTAAGTTTCCCCCAAGTCAGTAAGATTTCCACTTGATGGATCTTGGAATCAACCTGTTGCATTATATCTCCAAATGTCTCTTCTTTTCTCCAAGCCCAGTCATTGTGGACAGTCTGATACAGCTGTGTAAGTCCCAGATTCTCAAGCATCCTTCTCTGGCAAGGCGGATCTCTGCCAAAAACTGTATGTTATCCACCACCTGGAATCGAGGTTGGTCATCTTTACACCTGAAAGCCTCAGTCTGTTTTTATCTTTCTACTCTTCGCCCCACCACCAGCTCACATCCTTCATGGTCCAATTCTGTGGGTGCTCAGACACACCCTCAGTATCATTAGCCATGGCCCAACCTTTTTTGTTTTTAATCACTTCTTCCTAGACTTAATTCAGCCATATCCATTGCCTGTTAGTGCCTAAATGTTGAATGTAAGGGAGTAATAAAGCACATACAGTCTCTGCCCTCATAAAGCTCATACTCTGTTGCAAGAGCCTTCTTACCCCATTCATGCTTTTCTCCTTTTCCAAATCCATTTTATGCATAAATACTAGAGTGATCCTTCTAAAATGCAAGTCTCTTTATGTCCCTCCCCTGTATCAGATTCTTCCCCATCTCCCAACAGCATAAACCATTTATCATGGTATCTAAGGCTGTCTGTGATTTGGCCACCACCTAGTCTTTCTAGTCCTTCTCCACCCCGCTTCATCCTCATACCCAAAATTTACACTTAAGCCACTTGCAGCTTTTTGGCGAAGCTTTTACAGCTTAGTGCTTTTGCACATGCTGTACATTCTGTCTGGAATGCTCTTTTCTACTTCCCTTATTTGAGTCCTCAGGACTAACTGAGGCCCTTTTCCTATGTAAATCTGTAGGTTAGCTATTTCCTCTCTGCTTCTTATGCCTTCTATGCCTGTTTTTATCATAGTACATATTACACTGTCTTATAATTAATATCTTCTCTGGCTGCCCCAATAAACTGAATTTCTGGTGTCAGGGACCATGTCTAACTCACTTTAGTCCAGTGTGTCTAACACATAGTAGGTGCTGCCTGAAG